AAATAAAACAACAATATCAAAACCTGGCATTGATTATCAAAATAACGAAAGATTCTAAATTGTCATATGTCTTTACTATTGTTTAAAGCCTGTTTACTCAACCTGTTTACTATATATTTTAATGCTTTAAACCATAGTTAGTGTTAATGCAGTCTTGAAATAGATAGAACGCGAAAAAGCTGACAAGAAATCCTTAGATTCTTTTTTTAATTCAGTAATGAAATAGTTGATATACGTATACAAAATTTTAAAGAACATTTTACTCCTAACAACAACCATAATAGCCCTATTTCCCGTATCAAACATAAGCTAAAAGAACTAGCCAAGGAATTTGTTTTTGTCTCGGCTGATAAGGCTGCTAATAAAATCATTATTGTTTGACGTAAATTTTACATTGAGGTTCTACGAAAGAAAATCACCAATTCACCAACATTCCAACTGATTCCATATTTGGAAAATGACATCTGTAACAAACATAAACTTTTAGCTACCTTTTTACAAGCAAAACCAAAAACAATGAAAGTTTCAACTATGTACTGGCTTCCGAAACTGCACAAAACACCTTTTCAAATATAGATTTATTTCGTCTTCAAGCCATTGTTCCACTACTAAACTGTCTATTCTACTTACAAGTACACTTGGTACAATCAAAAACCTGGTAATAAATTGTTTAAATAAGGCCTTTAAAATAGTGGAATTAATTACTTTTGGAGTTTCAAAAATTCGTTTGAAGTACTTGATAAATTGCATGCTTATATTGGTGATTTCGAATCTGTTCAAAGTTTTGATTTTTCTACCCTATATACCACCTTGCCTCATAATCTTATTAAAAAATCACACACCTAATCAAATGGACATTTAAAAAGTCAGAATGTGAATATATATGTTCAAACTCTTTTAGGTCATTTTTTAGTAACCACAAACAAAAGAACTATGTCAACTGACCTGCTTTGATACTATAACTGCCCTTGAATTTTTACTAGATAACATTTTTGTTCGCTATGGAAATTCCGTATATCGCCAAGTTATCGGAATTCAAACGGGGACTAACTGTGAACCACTTATTACGGACCTGTTTCTGTATTGTTATGAGTTACAATTTATGACTAAAATCAGCAAAGACCCATCGAAACAACATCTGATACAAAAATTTAATAACTCTTTTAGATATTTGGACGATATATTGGCTTTCAATAATGACGACTTCAGTATGTACACTAAAGAGATTTATCCTGCTGAACTGACTCTAAATAAAGCTAATACTAACAATGAACACTGCCCTTTCCTGGATCTTGATATATATATCTTTAACTGGAAGCGTAATACAAAAATTTACAATAAAAGGGATGATTTTTCATTTCCTTTTGTTATTTATCCATTTTTAGATGTTGATGTTCTCTTGTCATTATTTTATGGTGTTTATATATCTCAATTTGTTCGATTTGCTCGTGTATGTAACAACGTATTTGAAATTAACGAAAAAAATCTCTGTTTTACTGAAAAAAATATTACACCAGGGTTTTCGATATCACAAACTAGTCAAAACAGTTACTAAATGTTATCATCGGTACAAGGGCATCATTCGTAAATATAAATCAACATGCAGACATCTTATACGTTCAGGTATTTCACATCCAATCTTTTATGGTAATATTCTTTACAAAGCACAAAAATGTCGGCATTCACCTCAAAAGCTAACCAAACCTTTAAACAGACTTATTCAGAAGAGATATAGTTACGATACTGTTGTCAGGTCATTGAAGATGGCATTTTTTGGTATTTGTATTGACTCACTCATATGGTCTTTGCATCGGAAATAAACACATGTGTTCTAAAACCAGTTGTTGGCATGATACGGGTTATGTTCTACGAATATATTTTATGATGACATATTACTTAACCCCTAACTGGAGGGATTGTGCTTGATTTTTATATGATGAAGATATAATCTTTCAATCAGTTTAATTGAAGTCTGGAGCTGGCATGTCAGTAACTGTTAGTAGTTCTTTGTTAATCTGTGTATTATTGTCATTTTGCTTAGTTTCTTTTGTAATCCATTCTGACATCGGACTCGGACTTCTTTTGAACTGAGTTTTACTTTGCGTATTGCTGTGTGTTTATTTATTCTACATTGGCTAGAGGTATAGGTGGAGGGTTGAGATCTCACAAAACATGTTTAACCCCGCCGCATTTATGCGACTGTCCCAAGTCAGGAGCCTCTGGCCTTTTTTAGTTTTTTTGTTTAGAGACCAGCTGAAGCCCGCCTATGTTTTAGAGTTTAGTATGACGTCCATTTTTACTGAACTAATACACATTTTTTTAAGGGGCCAGCTGAAGCCCGCCTCCGGTTGCGGGATTTTCTCGCTGTGTTGAAGACCCATTGGTGGTCTTCCGCTTTTTCTGCACTTTGGTCGGGTTGTTGTCTCTTTGACATATTCGCAATTTCCATTCTCAATTTTATTGAATCTTTAGAAACATCGAAGTAAACTTGTGCCTTATGAAATCAATATAGGTGGCGGAAAATCTAAATACATTTTTGAACACGAAATAATTGGTTGGCTAGTTTAAAAACAACAGATGTTGAACACATATACACTGTACAAGGACGACGTGTTAATAACATTCTAAAGAGGAAGTTAATAAAGTATTCTATTGGTTCATGAAGAACCAATGAAACATCTTGTTAAAAATCAATTTAAATCCTAGTAAGTATATGTTTCAATGTGATGCAATGATTTTCTTTTTAAATTGTTAAACAAGACGTTGAAGATAAAAAATGGGACTATTTAAAGGCAAACCAAAAGGAACATAGCAAAAAAGTGTTAAGACCAACATCAATACCACAAACGCTACAAAGAACTGAAAAAGTAAACAAAATTAAAATACCAAACCCCGAAGAAAATTTAAAATAGAAAGTCATAAAATAACACAATCAAACGCCTAAACACATAAAACGAATAGAAAACAACAAAGAGAAACAAAATTGCATTAAGACACTCTATAGACATGATAGACAAAGTCCATATTAGGCAAAAATGAAAATAGTACAATAACACAATGGCGGGAAATATAAATACATAACCACGTCAAAAGCTCACAAACTGAGTAAAGTCAGTGAAGTACAGCCTTTTACAATGCGCAAAACCGATTTCTCATAGAAAGTTAATAGAGGCCCCGAAATTTAAAAGTAATCTCATTGGAAATATATGACATTTCCTTATTTTCATAAAACTACCCCTAGCCGGAAATCGTTTATATCAAATTTGGTGAAACTTTCTGATATGTTAAATTCAAAATATTTTTCAACTTCGTATTTGATTTTACCTTCCAACTGTTTCTTTTCGAGCGCAACACGCGAGTCTCATGTTAATTGCTGTTAACGAAACGAGGATTTGTCGCAATAGATTTTATTCCAGGTATTGACATCATGTAGTTTCTGCATATCAGTTTTTTCAGAATTTGTGAATGTAAAGTACATATGTATTGATTGAATACTGTACATAGTTAACATCTGGTGAGCAAAAATAGTCATTACAAAACTACATCGCAGGTAAACTAACACTGTTAATACGTTATTTATCAAGCTCCTTCACTTACTGAAATAAACGGTTTAAAAATCTTTATTTTTAACTTAATCATTTGTAATAGCATTACCATCGTAACCCGACAACGTAAATAGTTCCTTCTCCACAATTGTTGCCCGACGCCTTTACATTTACTAACCCAGACATACTACCATCATCAATACATTTAAATAAACATTGATTTAAGCCACACTGTTGTGATCATTATTTTTGTACTCTTGGTTGCTGTCTCATTGACGAATATAGTCTAATATCTTTTATACTAACTGAAAACGTGCCATGTAAGTTCGACTGAAATTATACAGCTGGGAGAGTATGTGTTTAAATCAATAAAATGATGACAAATAGAATACCACTTTTTTTTTTTATTATTGTGTACGGTACACAAGACTATGTTGAGAATAATGGGCTAATATTACAAGAAAACAGGGCATACAATTAAAGAACAGAGATAAAAAAATAAAAAGAAGCAAAAAACTAAGGAGAATAGAGATAAATGGGGTGATGAAATATCAACATGATCAAGAATAAAAAGTGGTGGACATTTTTCAAAAAAAATAATATAAGAATAGATTGAGAGAACTTTGTTTGAAAAATTATGCACCAAATAAAAAAACATTCCTGCCAATTTAAAACTATAGAATAACAGGAAGTGGGTACACGCCTATTGTAAAAATTGTCTGCACAGAATTATTCAATATTATCAAGCTTCAGCGCGAATATAAAATAACACCTTTCCAGGTATCAGGCAAACAAGCTGGACAAAAGTGTTTCTTGTACTCTGCGTGTTGTACAATTTCAAACTATTGGCAAACAGGAAGTGACTGCAATCTTTATGTATCTATAATGTTTCATTGTATAATGTTTGTCGATAATGTTTCTCCTTATAATTTTTGTGTCTATTTTTACGTATGTGTTTTTAGTTTTTTTAGTTCTTTTTATCGTTACACTTTCGATGCGACTGTCATATAAGTGAAAGGTTTAGCTAGCTATAAAATCAGGTTTAATCCACCATTTTTACATAAAGAAATGCCTGTTCCAAGTCAGGACAATAACAGCTTTTTCATTCGTCAGATATGTTTGAGCTTTTTATTTTGCCCTTTTATAAAGGACTTTCCGTTTTGAATTTCCCTTGTAGTTCGGTATTTTTGTTAGTTTACTTTGTATATGCCCGATGAACGAAAAAAGTGTTTTGTCCTAAATGGTTGATAAGATGTCTATACAAGAAATATTCAAATATAATTTATGAACATTTGTTTTCAAATTTTTCAATATAGTTAGTTGTGCTATTGGACAGGATGATATTATTGTTATAATGCCGTATATGCTGTTTTCTACAATAAAAGACCACACACCATTTTTACTCAATTTTCTTTTATATTTTACACAGTCACATCGTTTGTTTAGCGCTTAAATTTACGGGATTCCTTTTATGCCAGTCCATTTTTCAATAAAGGAAGTATAATAAGCAACAGCTGAATATACAAATGGTTTTTCAGCATTACAAACATTATACAACCATGCAAATACTCCGACGAGAACACGACTCCCATTTCTTTCACATGTCAAAGGTCCACCAGCGTCACCCTAGAAATAGATTAACAACTTCAATTTTATAAATTTTAAAACTTATTTTCATATATCATGTTCATAAAATATAAAATTGAGAATAGAATTTCATATAGATTATGTAGAATGTAGCATTTAGTATTACCATGCAATGAAAACCCGTTTTGAATGACATGCTTACCGATAAGTATTATTGTATTATACGTTTATTACAAAATTGTGATGTACTGTTCTATTAACATTTTTTACAGTTATAAATAGAGTCGTTTATAGTTGTTTTCCTCCTAATTCTGTTCACTGCATGGCTGCCGGAGTTCTAATCATAATCGATCATTAAGAGCTCAAATAATTTGGTATATTTTTGATTTGTTACTGTTTGGTTGATGCTAACTTTGAACAGCTATCACCGATATATTACTGTTTAAAAGCTATCTCGTCAGTAAACTAGTGCCTTTACAGTTAATTGCATATTACATGCATGTATCTTTTACTATAAACTATCAAAACGTACACAGATCCATATTATCTAAGCGTTAGAATTGATTGATTGCTTGATTGATTGATTGGTGTTCATATCACTTTTAGCAATGTTGGCGATTTCGTCGCGAAAAGATTTTATTGGTGGAGGAAGCAAGAGTGCCTCGAGAAAAAAAAAACAGAACTTCGGTAGGAAAACTAACAATCCAAATCAGTTAAGATAGGAGTTGAGTGCACCTTCCACGTGCGAGACTCGAACTCACAACCCCAGAGTTAATAGGCTAGTGAGGCAGTAGTTGGACTACTAAGACTACTAGAATTCTGACCGAGTCTCACTTGACACATCTTTCTTACATTATTGTTTTGTAACGTTCTGAAAGAACTAATGAAGAATCACGAGTTATATCAAGCTACTGAAAGAGAAAAAGACAACTTTGATTAGGTTTATTCATCATGTTTATATAATTTAGTGTCATTTAACAATGCTAAAAATGTACTTTTAATTTGCAGAAGCTTAGGTTTGAAAAAATCCTGATTCATATGACTTCAAGGTATTTTTACTTACATTGCAGGCTTGTTTTATATTCTCGAAGTCATAAGCACATATTTGAGACTTGGGCACTGTAGGATCTGCTAGATCATTACATTCGGCATTCGATAAAACTGATGTATCTGCAAACTGGAGAGTTTCTGCTTCATTTTCTGTGAAATAAATTATCTCATTATGAATTGTTTAATAATTGCAGATGTCGAATATTTTATAGATTGAGTAAGTCTGTTTTTATTTGAACAAATCACATACATTTTCACTCGTTAAAAAATTTTTGACAAACAATGTATCTAAATACACTAGTGTAGATGAGAATATTTGAAAGCCAGCACATGCTGTCATATATATTAATTTGCCCGATACGCGATAAAAGAAGCTATGAGGTAAATTGGTTGTTACATATGAAAGCCGTCTTAATTCAATGGTGTAAGTTTACATTTATTGACATCTTCCACATATTGCATACATCAGCTGTTGAAATGTGAGCACATCATATTGAATTAAGAAGCAAATAACTGAGCAGTACTTATAAATTGATCACAATGCTTCATTATATGTTGCATATCCATTATTGAACTCCTTATGGAACGATATTTTTGTTGATTGCAACTATTATCTGTATACCAATACAATTATTGTGTATACATCTTCGGGGATCAAATCAGCAAACATAATATTTAAGTTATGAAAGTTAGAATTATGTTAACCTATGGTCAGGATGTGCTTATCGAATAGTTAATGGTTTTTGTAGACAAACTAAAGGATTCGTCAAAATGTATTCTAACGTCCCTTATTTATTTAAGTGTTTATGTCAACGGAATAACAGAAATTGTTGACTCATTTTTTCATTTGATATGTCTTGAATCTCCTTTGATTTTTATATATTTCGTAAAGAATTAAACCAAAATAACCCACAATTCACCTTATGTCACTTACCATTGGCATCAATGTATCCCCATCCTGATATTTGACAGTTGTTAAGACCATCACTACCTTTGATTGTTGTATAAGAGATACTTTGACATCTAGGTCCAAATTTCAGAGGAGTATGAAGTTTAATTACAGCTATGTTATTGTCAAATTGAACGTCATCGTCGTCCTTGACGTTCCTATCAAAACGGGGATTCTGCAATATAGATCAAACAAGTGAAAATTTCAAAGTAATAGTTTGACGTAGCACATCAATTGGTCCTTGTAAGACATGTAAGACTGAGATAAACAAAATTGAAAATATAATTAGATTTGTTTACATTACATAGGCATGATGCCAATATTCAGGACATGTATTTAAACATGTCAGGTAAAAGTCAATGGTAAGCCCAAAAAATGTACATAACGTAAGGAATAGTGTATATCAATTATGACATAAAGGTATTTCGTTCACTCAACAAAAGTAAAATCATTAGAACACAGCTTTAATAGCTGTTATATGAATACGTCCCTTACCATCAAGTATCAGGCTAAAATCTTTTCAACCTGATGCAATAGCTAGCAACTGAATGTGATTTCAACACGGTCAATTGCGGAGGTATGAAAGACTTTCTTTACGGCATATCGATAAAATCATATCATCATATGTATTAAAGAACACAATATGGTAGTTGCAAACTTAACTTGTTAAAACAGACAAATACGTTATACAAATAATGTCATAATTTTTCAGACAATTATTGATTAAATTAATTGCCATTTAAAACATAAGATAGTTAAACAATCTAGTTGTTTTGAGCTTTAACCATGTTAACAAGTAACTTAAAGAAGTATAAACTGTCAATTTTTCCCGATTTGACTCAAATTCTCATACTTGATTTATAACATTTCAACAACGAATATCTAAATAAGAAAAGGTTCAACGGAAACAAAATTTGTAAATCATCGTCTTATCTGTATTACAAAGATTTTTGTGTGGGCCTAATCAGTCAGTAATGATGCTGATTCATGATAGCTTTGATATTGAAATTCTTTACTGTTTGATAAATGACTACACTGATATTATGAAGTTTATGGTCAAATTAGAGCTCCCAATTAACTGCATACGGGGAAAAACATGTTCCACTGATGTATATACCATATATTTGACTCGGTATATCTCTTTCATATCATATTAAACATGTGTAAAATGTAAATAGATAAAACTATGGTATCAACATGATCAATGTAAAGATAAAATTTGCCATAAATCATATCTTATGTTGCTGTCTCATTTACATAAATGCATTTTCCTTTTATTCATATAAAGAAATAAGTTTTTTTGTTTTTTTTTGGATTTTTTATATGATTTTGTGGGGTCTCATTTACATGTTTATATATATGTTTTTTTTTTATTTCTGTTTTTTTTTTTTGTGTAAATAAACATGCATAGTTTCCCCTTCTCTTTGAAAAAGAAACAAACATTGCGATATCAGATACTTACTATTTTGAAGTTCTTAATAGTTCTTATTTGTTTATTTGGATCTGAAAGATCCTCAAAGCCACACCGAACTCGTCTGTTTATCATTCTAAAAATACATTTATGATAGTTTAGTAATTTGATCTGATCAAATGCAGCTGTAAAGAGCATTTAATACCAAAAATCAAAAACCTGTTTTTATAAAAAATGTATTCTCTGAAAAGATAATGTTAATTGAAATTGTATCATTACAGAGGACTTTTATAGTTTCTTCAATCTTCAATAACACAATTTTAGGAGACGTCCACTAAATTCTGATGGAATAAGGGTGGCACTGTGATGAAGTCAAAAAAATACATTTACTTCAAAGTAGCTCAAATTTTATTATATAGATAACCTTTTTCATGTTTAAGATAAATAACATACAACTTCAAACAAAAGAAAAAAGTAGTCAAAGTGGAGTCTAAAATTTAAAATCTGTTAAAATTGAAAATAATTATATGACAACATAACAAACAGAGGCAAATTCAGGGTCATAAGAACAGAGGCCTAATTGTTCAAACTGGTATTTACTCAGATGCTCAAATTTCTATATTATGCCTCTATATTATTTTGAAATATTATGTAAGTCATATAAAAGTAAGTTGTATTTGAGACAAATCGACTGATAATTCGTAAAATTGCAATTAACCTATTATTTAAAGTTCCATTCCTTTAAAGATATTTTTCGAATTCATCCAGCTTATGGATTTTATTTTGTTCAATATATAACGTAAGTTTAATGCCAATATTTTTTTCATTCTCATAAAAAGTAAAACAATTTTTTAAGGTTTACATATATGAAAATATATGACAGGGTAAAAGAGTTGAGGGGGAATCAAACACCATTAAATGAGTAAAACATTGCAGATAACACTCACAAGAGAATATAGCCTTGAACTTCAACATGAAATATCATGAAGGCCACAATTTGAATCTTAAACATGTTAAATAGATCTATGCCAAAAAATTTACTTCTAGTCAAAACAATAATGGGAAAACTCTTGGAAACAAAGTCGGTGTAATATTGTCAAAATAAGTTGCGTTTGTGCATATTTTAACCTAATAGGATCAGGAAACGCTTTGCCACAACCTAAGATCCAAAATAGTATGTATCAAAACGATGCTAATGATGATATTGAATCAATAGACACAAAAAATTACTATATCAGAGTCAGCGGCAAAAGTAAAATATGGTAAAATATGTTAAAAAAATAATATGGAAATAATAATATAAGAACAAGGAAAATATTGAAATAACGTACGGTCCTTTCAGACAGGCTGCTGAAGTTACAAGCATAGTTTCTGAGAGAATAACCGCTCCACACCAATGTCTCCAGGGTTCCTGACGCCTAGCACGACGTTGAATTTCTGCGATAAAGGGAAAGTCCTCAATAGCTCCATCAGTTCCTGCGACTATCTGGGTAGTCTGTATAATATAAAAAACATATCATCTTTGTTTTAACCAATATGAGAAGATTACTTACCCATGACAGAAAAATGTCTATTAAATGATGTGTTCTGGCCTTATCGTCAAATTTGTATTTCATGTGATATTCAAAGTGTTTTGATTCGAGCGCAACGGATGAGACTTAGGTAGACGAAACATTCGTCTAGCATGTCGAGTGTACCACATTATAATCATTTTAACTTTCTTGCGTTTCAATAATGAAGTCAAAATGAAACACGAATCTATTTTTTTTCTTTTGGGGTAACATTGATTAATTTTATATACAATGTATAAAAACAAGTGGTTTTAAACACAATATGATACCTATACTACATATATAGTGGAGTAGCTTTGATGTGCAGGGTGAACAGAATGTTTCAACACAACATATATAATTGGCCTACCATTTATTTCTTTATAATGCTACATGATACATTTTGATTCATCTCTGTCAACGCTGCTACTATTGTATAGATTAAATGTCGATACAATATTATGCAATAATAAACCAAATGCAATATCGTCAAATAAGTGAAAGGTCTTATAATGAGAACAAAATGACTGGAAGAATCATATTCACAATTTTAAAAAAATCAAGCACCATCACATATGATAATTAAGTTGTGTGTTAGTATTTAAATAATTTTATTTAAACCTATGTTTTAGTATTTGTAAATACATGTTTCATTTATCAAAGAAAAAAAACCTTCGTTTTATAGAACAATATCAGAAAAAAAGAAAACCCAAATTATTTTACCTTGTCAGGCATAAAAGCTGAAAAAAGAAATGGAGATTTTATTATACTTGGCTAGACATTGGGGTCTACAGATTTAAGATATAGTTCGTTAAGTTTTGAATGAGCAATGTATTTAAGATTATAGATGTATCATGAAAATCATTTGTTCCTCACAACTGTTAATACTTAACGAACAAATTTTGAATTGACTTTCAATATTTGAAATAATCAATAATGATCAGAATTACATGTTTCTTTTTCATAGTTTAAACAATATATAAACATAACCTACACATTATAATATTATAATAGAGACTTAACTAGTTTCAAAAGATAACAAAACACACATTACCTGTAACGATGACAGTCAGTTTAAAAATTATGTTCATTTTCAGCGCTGGCTAATTACGGGATAGCTAAAACAGATATTGTCTGATATTAATTATTCTGACAAACCACAGTAAATACAAATGAATGAGCAACATTTACCAATTCACAAACTATTGAACTGATAATAACCTTAAATGTCTTACTTTCAACAGATTATATTTGGATGAAGCAATGTAATTTGGGCAACAACAAAAAAAAAAAAACAAACATATGTCTCTACTTCTTTCTGATAAGTTCTTTTTTGTAAACTGGATATTGTCTCATGACTATGTAGTTATTATAGTCTTATATCTATATTCATAAAAAAGAAAATGATCAATATCAAATAAAATAAGTTTACTTTTTACACATTGTGACTTGGATGGATAGTTGTCTCATTGGCACTCATACCACATCTTCTTATGTATATTGTTTTGTTTCAAAATATTGTTTTTCAATAGAACAGTTCTTCGTGTAGAACATGAAAACGTGTGGTTTACATGTTTCTCTGATTTTGTACCAATTTTGAAAATAGTTATTTGATAAAAACATCTGAGAAATGTTATTCCATCTCATAAATTTTGGTTACTAAGCCTAGGTTCACATTTAGGTTAATGCATGCAAAGCAAGACACACCTTACACTTGCAACATATGCGATCTCCCTGTTGCTGTTCATTCGATATCTTTCTTTTGCAAATATACAAATATATTTTGGTTTATTAATTTTAAACGCGTTTTACGAATTTTACGACCACTGTTAACTTTTTTTGTGTTAATGATCCTTCCTATATCACCGTGTTTTAGAGTAATTGTACCTTGAACTACATGCGTAAGCAGTCGAAAATAAATGTAGTTTGATTTTTAATTCCAACCGATTTTGTCAAATGAAACGAGCAAAACGTGTTAAGCTTACGAAAAAAATATATCTTAAAATAAACAAAAAAGTAATGTTGTGGATGTAAAGAAAAATCATAGTCTTTGTTAGAGTTATATATTTTTAAGTTTTGGGGCAATTAACTAGTCTTAATTAACATAATAAACAAAACGTTTTGACTGATTGCCCAATATAAAATAAAACGACATTGATATGTGTTGCTTATTGTTGTAAACCTCGCACTAATTAATAAAATAATTATAGCAATTACATTTTCATCTGTTTTATACATTTGCATGTTTGTAAATACAAGCTATTGTTTCATGTTATCTCAATCCTTTTTATTCAACAGTTTCCTATATTTTTACAAATTACTTAAATTGTATTATAAAACCAAGAGAATGTGCATCATCTTATCTAAAATTATTTACCAAATTGTTGAGAAGCGTTTCCTTTTGCGAGTCTGTTTAAAATCGTCCTTCTCCACAAGTAAGTAAGAAGTTGTGTTTTATTTTCTGAAAATAAAACTTTTATATCACATCATGTCTTAAGATAAAAGTTCGAGAGACTTGGAAGTTTGCGTTAATAGGGTGTCGATGGGGACATAGAGTAACCTTTTATAAAAGTTGGGATTAATCAGCTGTTTGGGGGTAATAAATAGTTACATGTTTGCTTTTTGTAAACGGATATCGAAGAAAAATTGAAAATCACCATTCATCATTGAACTGCTTTTAAAATAAAATTTGCTTTTATAATTAAAGAACCCTTGTCACCTCTTTAGGAAAGAGTACATTATAAATCGAATATAGAAACAAGTGTTACATTAATCGATTTTGCTCATGCTGCGACAGAAATAGCCTATACGTCTCAAGGACTTTATCGAAAAAATGTTTATGTTAAAGGAAACAACTTAATAAAATCGTTCAGATTGTTGGTATAGGAATTTCATCAATTGAAAATACTGTATTTGAATATTGTTTTCATCGGCACTAACATATATTTTCTTAATAATAAGTCTGAATGAGTACTTGATAATCTTGGTATAGTTTGAATTGGTCGCGACAAATGCTCGATCAGTCTCGACTCAGTCTTGACCAGTCTTGACCAGTCTTGACTCAGTCTTCACCATTTCACCATTCTCGAACTGTCTCGACCAGTCTTGACCTTAAAATTTGATCTCTACTGGTCTGAATCAGTCCATCTATCTCAATTATATATTGATCTTACAAAATTTCAGGTTATTTGGCAGTTTGGTTCATTGATGTCAAATTCAAGAAATTAATTTTAAAGTTGAAAAAACATTTCTATACCTTTTTCAAATCAACTTGGATTTTCATAAAACTCTACAGCTATCTCAATTATATATTGGTCTAACAGAATGCCAGGTTATTTGGTAGTTTGCTGTCAAATTTAAGGATTCTGTAAATAGTTAAAAACAAAGCTAGCATTTTCAGTTCAGACTAAATTCAGATAGTCACCTTTAAACATTTGTATGACTTTTTCAAATCAACTTAGATTTTCATAAAAGTCTACAACTATTTCAATTTTGTACTGATCTTACAACATGCCAGGCTAATTAATGTAGTTTGGTTTATTTCTGTCAATTCTATGATTTAATTAGTAGGTAAAAAAAGCTAGAAGTTTCAGTTCGGACTAAATTCAGATAGTCACCTTTAAAAATGTCTATAACTTTTTCAAATCAACATGGATTTTCATAAAACTCTACAGCTATTTCAATTATATATTGGTCTAACAGAATGCCAGGTTATTTGGTAGTTTGCTGTTAAATTTAAGGATTCTGTTAATAGTTAAAAAAAGCTAGAATTTTCAGTTCAGACTAAATTGAGATAGTCACCTTTAAAAATTTGTATAACTTATTTAAATCAACTTGGATTTTGATAAAACTGTACAGCTATCTCAATTATATATTGATCTTACAAAATTCTAGGTTATGTAGTATATTGGTTAATTGCAAATTTAAGGATTTTATCAATAGGTTTCTATCTGAATTTACTCCAAACTGAAAATTTTAGTTTTTTTTACCTATCAATTGAATCTTTAACTTTGAGAGTAATAAACCAAACTACTAAATTACCTGGCATTTTGTGAGATCAATATATAATTGAGATAACTGTATATGTTTATGAAAATCCAAGCTGATTTGTAATAGTTAAAGAATTTTTTATAGGTGACCATATGAATTTAGTCCGAACTGAAAATACTACCTTTATTCCTTTTAATGAAATCCTTAAATTTGACAGCAATGAACCAAATAACCACATAACCTGGAATTTTGTAAGATCAATAAATACTAAAGATAGATGGGCTGATTCAGACCAGTAGAGACTAAATTAAAAGGTCAAGACTGGTCGAGACTTGCAAAGACTGAGTCGAGACTGGTTAAGACTGGGTCGAGACTGGACGAGATTTGCCAAGACTTTAACAAGCTTATCATGTACTCAATCAGACTTATTATGTTAAGTCGAATCCAAAGTCTAGTACATTTAAGTACTGTCGGGATTATGTCGAGTCTTGTCACGTAAAATATGTGCTCAAAATATGGTCTTTTCTGACTCTGTGCAGTTTTTAGTGTATGTATTGCCATACAGTAAATAGAACTTACCGTGCTTCATCCTGTGGATACTCATATTTTGGCATTGTACAATCTCACGTTTTGCTAGATTGTGTTTGAAAAAATCCATCGGATGTGTACCTATTGATATTATGTTTTAGAAAAATGAAACTGTAATACAGTGGTTGTCGTATATTCTGAATATTATATATTTGTTTTATTTGCTGCTGTATATCATATTTAATTTTTGTTTTGGTTATTGTGTACATTAATTTTGTTTTTTTTTTCTTTGGAATTGTGTTACATTTTGTATTGTCGGAACCTTACAGTCCGTGTAACGTAAAAGTTAACAAAACGAACGATGCCCGAATCATGTACGGACGATGCCCGAACGATGTACGTACGCTACCCGAACGGTGTACGAATGCAAACGAAACGCTGACCGAACGTTGCACGGACGCTGAACGAATGATGTACGAACGAAACCATGTACCATACACCATACTCTAAACGATAACATAAGCGCCCTTTTATCGTACATCGTATGGTTTTGCGTACTTCGTTTCGTTTAGCGTATACCGTATCGTTTAGCGTACATCGTTTCGTTTAGCGTATATCGTATGGTTAAGCGTACATCGTTTCTTAGCGTGCATAGTTTCGTTTAGCGTACTTGTTTTTTTTTTAAATATAAAACTAGAATTGTGTTCTGTTAAATATTTTTTATATAGGTGATAATAAGCTTATAAATTAAGATTGGATGCATAATTCAGTTTTTAATCATTCATTAAATAAATTATAATTTATTCTGTCTCGACGTTGATCCAAAACTATTTACATAAAAAATTTGAAAAATAAACACTGAAATAGATTTAAACAAACTAAAAGATACGATTATGAATTTTGTTAGCCGTGGAAAAGGTGAATGTGCGAGTAAACTGCAGTCTACAGGGTGTTTAGTCAACAGTTTAGATTATATATATATTTTTATTCATCTATCAAATCAGTCGAAAAAAAAACAAATATTCAAGAAATTTCAAATAGAAACAATATTCTGTTATGTGCCTCATCAACCCCAAACATAAACCTACCAATGTACAAACGATTGTGTATTATTTTTACTACTAAATTAATGCACTTGACTTTTAACAATCATCAAAGAAGAGCGTGTCCGGCAAATGAAAAATTTCTAAAAACTGAAAAAATTAAAAATCTAAAAACTGTAAGTGAAATTATAATTTAGCGTTTTCATTTTTTTATTTTGTAACAACAACAAAAATCTAGACCATTTCCCTCTTTTCTTTAATAATCTAAGACCGTTTTCCTCTATTCTTCATTTTGCCCGTTATACTCTATTCTTATTTTATTTTTTTTTTCTGTATTTTCCTGTATCTATATACCTCCTTTATTCGGAGCAACCCCACCCTAAATATACATATGATACACAGGGTCTATAGGTCATCGCTTGTGCCGTGATACACATGTTTGCATAACAAAGGATGTCCTTGTTTATATTCATGACATTTTAAATGTCCTCCTAATAATACATCTAATAGTTGCCACTGGACGTTAAACAGCTAACTATAAATGCATCCGTCATATTCTTAGTTTTGTTGTAATGTGTAAATCAAACAACATGATGAAACACTTGCAGATTTTCACTGCCGACATAATGGGAAATAATTGTAAACAAAACCACTCAGGCCCTATTTTCCAATTTCTATTGTAATGTGGTTTAATGCAAAAAAGGTAACTCCTGAATACTGATCTGTACCCATCAAGCATTTAGGATTAATAACAAATCTATGGTAGTCTCTTTTTCTTTACTCGCAAATTATTCGACTAAATCATGTTTTATTTATGAAAATAGCTTATTGCTGGTAATTGTTAAATATTGATCCCTAGATTTTCAATTGTTTAGTTGTTGGGTTACTGTCTGATCTCGCAAACTTGACATTTTATGGTCAGTATTGTTTGCATCCAATTGCACCAATTTATCAAAAAGATAATAATGCGACACCGTACGAGAGTCGTTACTTTACATAAATTACTAGGTTTTTTTCTATAACGAAATACGAAACCACTTCTCGTAATTCGCCTTGGAGTAATTGTGCTTCTCATTTGACAAAATATGGCCTGGTCTCAAAAACAAACAAAAAATACAATATAATACAGAGTAATATATAAAACTGGACTAGAGTGAAGAGTTTGAAAGTAGGAATTCTGAATTTTAATTGAATGTTCTAAATCTTTGTGTATTTTTTATATAAGATTGTACAGACTCAACTATTTCTTTGTTTTTGCTGTGCTGAAATGAAAGGTCACCAGCCAATAGTAACAAAAAGGATATAGTAGATCTTTCTAATTTTGAAGATAATATTTCTCTTGCTTCAATGTGAAACGGGCACCAAAAAAAAGAAGGTGAATACTATCCTCAACAGGATGGCCACAGCTGCATGCGGGATTGTGTTTCATATTAACAAGGTTTTTATAAATCAGCATTTGAAGAACTTCACATGTTTCTCAAACGTATATCAATGATATTAAGATTTATATCACCACAACCAAAATAGGAAGTGCGTACTGTGAATAAATACTCAGTTTAGTATTGTTTACAGCAATTTATCACATATAATACCATGTTAACAGTTAATAACATAAACGTTACCAATGTTTCTGCACCAGATGCGCATTTCGACAATCAATGTCTCTTCAGTGAAGGTGACGGTATTTGACAGTCTGAAGGAGACAGCATCGAGGATTTAATAAGGCAAAGCTTCTGTTGTACTCAATCTTACTAAAGTTTTCTTTATTATATTTTATAGATATGTATTCGAGATACGATAATGTAGTTTCCTTTTTTATATTACACCTGATCATCTATGATGGGATAATGTCTAATGAGAGAATTTAACCATAGACTGAATAACGTAGAAATGACCAATTAAAGGTCACTGTACGGCCTTCAAAAATGAGCAAAATCCATACAGCATGGTAAGATATACAAGGCTCCGAAAGGACAAATGTAAAATAAACTCAACGTCTTCTCAGCGATTGCAAAGTACTTTTTCTAAATAATTAAGTTTTGAATCAGGTTACAGAGTCACAATAGTATACAGTAAATAGCCTTTCATGTTAAAATACAATGTCATACAACAAATGGAAGTTTTTAACGACCTTGACTGGCTATACAGCCCTTGCACGGTCACTACAATGTCATAATACTATGACAATGTCATTTACACTGTTCAAACATCACCGCACGTCAATCTTTGTACAACAGAAAAAAAGCTGATTGGACATTCGTGAAAATGTGTCACGCCCTCATCAATTGGCGTACATCCTATCAAGTACCTTCAGAAAGCTTCCATTAAAATAATTTTACATACAAGTAATTGTGTATTTTATTTTCTAAACAAAACAAAATGTGCAATGAAGCCACGGATTCGTAATCTTCAAAAATAGTTCACAAACGGTTGATAAAATGTGGAAAGTCTAAATAGAAATATAACAATTATGTCCAGTGTGCGTTTATAAAACGGGCTCTGTTTGGACATTTTGAGATACTATAAGTACTAGTTTAATGTGTATAGAATTTCAGACGTCATTACGACTTTTGATCAGTTGGATTTTCAATTTCAATATAAAAAAAAATGTTTTGGGTTTTCTTCTTTTCTTTCAATTTATATCATGATTCTTTGGATATTTCCCATTATCTTCTGATTTTTTTTAAGATGAATAATTTAAAATTTGTATACCAAACATTTAAAATTTTACTCTGCATTTATAAATAGCATTGAAAGTACAACATCTTATAAACGATAAACATTGATAGATGTAAATGAGCCACTCTTTCTCGTGTTGAGATGGAATATGTTCGTTATTTGATTTGATGAGTTTAACAATCGAAACCCCTGAAATATCGTCTCATAACAAGCACGAAAAATGGCATAACTTAACTTACAACAGCGGGCGATGATTTCTAAGTATACAATACTCTTGCAATGGATTTTTTAGACATTTCTTATCCCGAATTACTTCTTTGTTAAAACTATAATGCACTATTTCATGGTCAACTAACCCAAGAAGTCAAATGAAATATCATAATCGTGGTAATTGTTTCATGATATGTTTTAGCTATCATTTGTGACTTTCAGCAAGTGACATTCCCTGTTGACCATATTAAACAGTGCACAATAATAAATTAACATATACGTTTATACATGAGGTTAAGAATGATCGAATGGACTACTTTTTTTCTACGGTTTCCCTTTAACAATCGATGGGCATTCCATTCCCTTTTGAAATTACTTAATCGAATATGAAGTCTCATGCACGAAGAAGTTTGTCTGACGTGAAAATACGTAGTCCCATATCTCGAGGCTACACGGAGACACAAAGAGTAAAATAAAAGGCAGGACTACATTTACATTGAAATTATATACATTTAAAGAAAAATACAGGACAAAATTTTTCATCATAGTCCTCCCCCCCTCGTAAAAATCTAATGGTAGCTTCCTAGTTGATTTCGACCACGAGCTTTGTAACCGCAGAGAAAAAGTCAAGTGTAAGTCGGTGTGACTATACCCACCAGCAACATATGTTCACAAGCTTCGGGTACGTGAGGAGACTTTCTTGCTATGTTTAAGACGGTTGATATTTTCTTCATTATGAGCTAGAACTATTTTCGACCTTCGCATCTTTTATTTTTTAGATTACGTCATTGATGATCTGATCACTACAACGTTTTTACAAAATATTCGTTCCCGTGAAAATTAAGATTTGTTTAACTTAAAAAGTTCATCAAGGTCTTCTTAGGATATAAGCCATCTGTCTGGCTGGCTTTCAAGTCGACAAGATAACAGGTCAATGTATTCAAGTGAATTTAAGATTTGTTGCAATTCTAAAGTACAATGGGTAAATCAATCTTATCTTCGATTTGCAACATGGGCATCTCTATAAAGTAATACAGTCCATGCGTGACCTATAACATTAGAAAATGTTATGCATTTCATTGGATATTTTCTATTACAATCCAGGCCACCTATAGTAACCTATATTAATTTACTTGTCTGAACGCGAATTTGTA